ACTCTCATTTAGTTCGAAATTACGAAAGATGAAGATGGAAGATAAACCGATCGTTTGATGAATTTTGGTCGTGGTTTCTTCTCGTCTCCTTTATTTCTGATCACTTTCCTGTTTGGTTACGCAAAACGAGGGATATTTATAAACCCGTGTAACGGGTTTCGCGAACCTCGTACATCGATACTTTGTCTATGTTTATTGTATTACTGGTATTAGACACGGGATAGGCAGAACAGTACAGGCTATCAGTTTTACTATTTCCATGGCTGTGCCCTTGCTATCTTTTTTGAACGAATTCCATACCTGTTCATGAATCTCGTTTCTAAGCTGGTATAGGAATACATTATTCATCTATTTATAGAAGAAAACCGCAAGAAAAAATACGATGACTAACATTTCTTTTATTACGTTACGCTGAATATATTCACAAATATTGTAATAGCGTTTAGTATCCTTTTATGATCAGATTTATGTTTTCTCTTTTTCTCGAATTGAATTTTCGCAATTCAAAATTTAACAGTTATTTGAATCCATGATTGTAAATGAACTAAAAATAACTTATCACAATATTCCATCTAAACTTTTACAAAAATAGCAACATATACACACACACACACATATATATATTATATATATATTATATGTATAATATGCATATATCATGACTCATTTTACGTGAATCAAATCATGCATATCAATGTTTACAAATTCGTCAATGACGTCATTTTATTTTTTTATCTTTCTGCCACGATAATTCTCACGTGCCATATTTTCGTTAATCGAATTGTGCATATCAACGTTTATAAATTCACTCTTTCCATTTTTATACAAGTATATAAATATATATGCGTTTGTAATAACAATAAGTCCAATATATCATCTTTTGTCTAAACAAGGAAACGAGATAAATTTTGCCATAAATCTGATGCCTTTGTTTCCCCTTGTTTGTTGGTTATTTATCGTGATTTTTCACGTTGAAATTATCGATGTTCGACATGGTCAACTCTTCGTGATCATGTTCAATTAGTGCGATGGTCAGCAAGTTTCTCCACGTGTCGTGTTATAGTGCACTTTATCTGCGCGTGATAGCAATTTATAAAGGAATTCTTTGGATTTTCGCGATGATATCCGAGGCGCGTATGGTGTCGATTTATCGTTTCATTACGTAGATAGGTAGGAATTCGCGTATCGATTAGAGTGATGACGTGAAACGCTCTTTTTTTTTTTATTGTGGGTTATTATCGTACGAAAATGATATATGATCGTGAAGAAAGAAGATTCGAATGCTTTTGCAATGGTTGTGATACATTATCGTAATTTATGGTAATATTACCTTAATGATATTGTATCATAGATAATGTTATATTATTATAACGTTCTAAAATATACTTAATAATAATAATTTTGGATATTCGAAATTAAGAATTTTCTTTTTGACTTCAGATAATTTTTTTTTCTTTATTTAGAAATTAGAAAGAGTTATACGTAATGATAATGTTCAAATTAACTTAATCTAACCTAATGGCCTGAAGATATTTTATATATATTCTCTTTCTCTTAAATATCTAAAAATTTTTTATTTTAATTTTGTATTATTAAAAGAATTCGATCTAAGAAAAATTTTAAATGATGGATTATTCGAAGGGTTGTTACCTTCTTCAATGATGGAATTTTTTGATGAATATATATCTTTAGAACCGGAGCAGATAATTTCTTACACGCGAAGTTTTTTAGTTCTTTCAAAACCATCAGACAGAGACTAATTTTATCTGTGATAAGAATTTTTATTGCTACGTTAGCGTTGATTTTTTATTATTAGTATTGCCTCGTATGCTCGAAAATCACTTCAATAGCATAAATTATTTCACATTTTTTTTCTCGACTGCAAAATGCACATTACATAAATCATCCTGCGTCGAAATGCGAATTCAAGAGTTTCCCATGAGTTGCAAAAATTATACATACACACAATCATGATAATTATTGCTTTAATCACAATAATTATATCTATTATTCCATTGACATTTTGTAAAAAAAAAAATTCTAAATCACTATTCGATTGATAAATATAATTTAATTTTGCTATAATTTGCTCTCACAATTTTATAATCTTATATAATTAAATTAAATTTTAAAAAAATCCAAAAGAATTCGCTTAAATTACTCGAATAAACTACACAAAAATATTCTCAAAAATGTTCCACTATCTTTCAACACTACCAAATATACACTCCTTAAAAAATTCAATTCACTTTCCCAATCAAAAACCCTGTCTAAACTCCCTGAAGAATCAAAACTATCCAATAATATTCCAAAACAAATCGACGAACACAACAATACTTGTACACACAGTAATCTCTCATGTCTAGACTTGCTTCCTGGGAGCGTCGAGAACGGGGTTAAGTTCGAGCGTCTTCCAGACAGTATCGTATGCGCTGTCGATCATTCCTGTCTATCTGTTTTTCACCAGTTCTATTTTTTCCCTAGGAAACTGGACAGGGGGGTAGTGGCGGATAGACGGGCGTGCAGCTGTGGCCGAATCTAGGCTGGTCCGATTCTGGGTTGGAATCACGTGCACACTGCTGTTGACTGCACTTTGAAATCGGGGCTATGTGGCTCGCGGGGGGGCGATAAAGCTGTCTCTGAGGCCGTATCCGATCGAACGAGGACGAGCGTGCACT